AAAAAAAAAAAAAGAGGAAAAGAAGAAAAAAAAAGTTAGCGAGCCAACGGCAGCTGGAAAACTTTCTGGGCAGCGCATGCGCCCGAGCCCGGCCTATTGCAGTCGGGGCTGGATTTTAAAGCTGTACGGCAGCGAGCGGGACCCCGCGCAGCCCCGCGGCGAGCGCCCGTGGTGCGCGCCCCCGTCCCATCCCATCCCATCCCGTCCGCGGGGCTGAGCCCCCATCGCCTCGCCATTCTCGTTGGTCAAGCTCGGCGTGACACCCCGCGAACGCAGAGTTCGTGCAAAGCGGTGCCCCTTGTGCCCACCCCACCGGGGGGATGCATGCGGGGGTGTACGGCCCCCACCAGCACCGCCGGCTGGTTATCCTGGGATTGGGGCGGGGGGGCGCATAGGCACACGCGGGGATCTGCCGGGAGAGCCCCGCGGGGCTCCCCCCGCACACATGTGCGTGCAATGTGCGGCGCACATGGCCGCGCCGAGGGGCTGCCCCGGCATTCCTGCCGGGCGGCTCTTTGACAAGTCCTGTTTATCGCATGCTCCGAGCCGCGTGTGCCGCCTGCCAAACGCGGGGGGACGGAGCGAGCTCGACGGCTCGTGTTCCTCTTTCTGCAGCGGCTTTTCTGCCGCTGTAAATTTAGCAAGTTGTTGACAAAACTGTTTGAGTTCAATCAAGTAAGGCCCAATGAGAGCTACAGGCGAGGGAGGCTTCGCGGACCCTTTGCACCTCCTCGCTCTTTTCTCGCTCTGCAGTCCTCAGCCAAAGGGTTTTTATTGCACCCCTCCCGTCTGGTGTGCACCCAAGCACAGGAAATGGGAGCCTTCCCCCAGCCGTGCCGTAACTCCGCAGTGTTTCCCCTGTATCCGCCTGCAACTGAGGGTCCACGGGGGGATTCGGGGGAGGGGGCACATTATCAAAGCAGCCCTGGGAAATCCAACCAAGCTGCGAGAGCAGCCCCGCTATCAATAAAAGCATTCACTCCTTCAAAACCATTCCAGTGCAAATAAAATCCCTTCAGGAGCCCGATGGGGCGAAAAGGCACATCCCGGCCGGCACGAGCCCCTGCCCACCTGCTCCCGGGCCAAGAGCTCGTCCGCCCCGACAGGGCGCTGCCCGCCAGGTAAGCGTAGCCTCCGCCGAACGGGCCAGCTGCCCCGCCAGGCCCCCACGCTCCCCCCTCTGCCCAGGGCCCCCCGGGCCGCCCCCTCCGTTGCTCTGCCCGGGGCGCCGCTCCCCGCCGAGCCCGGCGGCGCCCGTCGCCTCCCCGGGAGGGAGCAGCGCTGGAGGGGCCGCCGAGAGGGGCCCCGGCGCTGGGAGCCGAGCAGAGGCAGCTCGGGGCGCAGGCAGGGAGCGAGAGGAGGCGGCGGGGGCGTCAGGGCAGCGCGGAGCCCCCCTCGCCCCACAGTGGGCAGGAGATCAGCCCGGGACACTGCGGCTCCCGCCGGCACCTGACCGCCCCGACGGCCGCAGCATCGCTCCCGGCAGGTTTCTTTACTCCCTAATGTCCCAAAGAGCCCTTCCATTAGGCATCCTCGCTGCCCGGGCTGCTGTTCATTCCTCGGGACGCCTGGTGAGGAATTTATAAATTAGGTGTAGCACCAGGTCCGAGGAGGGGGGAGGAATAAGGGGGCTGTTCGTTCCTTTAAGAAGACCAACCTTAGTTTTATGCCTAGTAAATAATATTTTATTGCCTTTGGTTTACTGTGGCATTTCAATTATCCCCTTTAGGAGTCTGCAAACTGCGTAGGTTAAAGGTCATTTCTCAAATCACTAGAATTAGTAAAGAATAGCAGAAAACTGTAAAAAGGGGAGGAGCTGCGCAGTAAAACAAGAAAGATCGCCTGGAATAAACTAATAAAGAGCCCCGAGCTGTTTACCTCTCGCATTTGTATTCCCGAATGATGTTTATCATCGTGTAATTGCATAATGTCATCGGGCGCAGGAAAACACCAAGCCCAGGACGATCCATACGGGCAGGGTTGTGAGCGGTAGCTTGGCAATGGGCGAAGCCAACACCAGATAATTTTCCTTCCCGGGATTCCTAGTCGTTGCTTTTAAAAAGAAAATTGAACAGGGAATTTTTAAATCGGGCAAATTTTCAAGCTATGGCGCATGGAAGTGGAAATAAAGGGCAGAAATCCAAACATCCCGCAAGGCTTTAAGAATTTTAATTTCTCCTCACTATTTAAAACAGCTGGGTGAAGCTAGAGGGGGCAGGAGGGAGAAGTATTGACAGTGTTAGAGGCATTCGTGCTGCCTAAGCTTTTGTTTTCCAGGTTTGTTAGCGACGGAGCTCTTAAGGTAACCAGACAGTTGATCTGCCAACATCAAAGTGTTTTCTGGAGAAAAATATAAATGCTCAGAGTAATGTCATGGGACGTGTAACAACATCGTTGAATGCCCAAACAGCAGAACCCCGAAAAGCAGCACTGCAGGGTTTTAGAGATTTAGGTCAGGTCTCTCTGCAATTCTCTGGAGGACAGAAATAAATTATTTCTGGTCGTTTTGACATCTTTCTGCCATTTTTCTGCAGAGTAATGCATTTTAACAAAGGAGTGGTCACATCAAACCCTTGCTCACCTGTGTTCACTGTAACGTGTGGTACTGTGTGATTTATATCTTTCCACCTTGGCCAATGGCAGCTGCGCAGTCAGGGGCCAACAGGCATGGGATTTTGTCATGAGGAACCTGTTTGGGAAGCAGAACTTTCGAGGAAAGAAGGTGTTTTCCTATATGTCTGTTTATTATGGAGTTTGAATATATAACATAGGAATTCTGACAGGTATCACACTGAGCCATGGTGAAGGCACAGCCCATCTGCAGCTGTTTTGGTATTAGTGCCCATAGTGTATCTGCATATAGGCTTTTTCAGATGAGGGTCATACCACAATGAACATTTGACAGAGCAAATATGTTGTGTCACTTTGGACATGTCCCCTGCACTATGTCCCCCAGCTCATCTACTCCAGGGATGACCTTTTAAGCTGCAAGGGATTTAGGTGTAACTGCCTTGAAATCATATATGGACTTTCCTAGGGCCTTTTTTTTCCTAAAGCATGCCGTAGCTGTTTTTCTACAGACCACCCTGTAATCCAAAAGATGGCTTAACTACAAAAGAAATGTCAAAGATGATGATTTAATGCCAAATCCTGCAATAATTGTTATTTTCCTACTCCTTAGCCACTAGAAGCAAGAAATAGCAAGGGAAACTCTCTTTTTAAATAATAATTTTATATTTCTAGCTTGCCTGAACTCTGCTGAAGAGAGTTTGACAAGTTAAGAGACTAGAAGACAAAGAAAAGAGTATGGATGTCTGTCCATGTATGGATGTATCCCCACCCCGTTCCCTTCCCATCTCTCAGATCCCAAATTCATGATGTTGAAAGAAACCAGGATATTTGGAAGCAGCAGTAAACCACTAGAGAGGAAGAAATGGAGTCTAGATTAGCATTCGTGTCAACCAGATGAAGACATATTTCAGATGCAGTGAGATGCAGGCGAGAGAGGAAAGTTTACAGGGTAATGAAGTGTTACAAATTCTGGTGAATACACCAATCTACAAACCTGCAAAGCCTGTAGAAAAAATTATACTACTTTATATTTAAATTGATGATAACTATACCAATTTGTTGTTACTAGTAATGAACTGCATAGCAAATAGCCCCCATTTGTCTGCATTATCAGCTGGAGAAAGACAGCTGTGGACTCATTTCTCGTCTTTCATGTGCAAAACACAGGTGGGTTCTTTTCATTCCCTTCTGCTGAGGTCTAACAAACCTCACTGCCACTGCAGAAACTACAGCCCAGGTACAACATGCATGTGTGCTGGATCATGGAGGAAAATAGAGAGATGAGAAAATCCTTTCCAGAAAAGAGAAGTGACTCTAAAAGCTATTCAGTCGGGATGCCAACTAAGTGCACATCTGTTGGAGCATGGGGCTTGACTGTTGTGAGCTCACCAGGTGCAAGATGGTCAAAAAACCCCCTTCTCACAAGAGCAGGGGAGGCTGAGTTTTGGTGCCTCACAGCAATGATTATTTTACTGTTCTGGGAGACTGGTGCCATGGGCAGCAGCTTGTGCCCGGCCCTGGCTCTGGCACACTGAGCTCAGTGAGCTGAGGTTCAGGTACTGATGCCAGTGCAGGTGTCTGAAGGAGGTGTTCAAGGAGGACATGACTCCTCTACAGCCAACAGAACATGTGAAAGCTGCCTAGACCTCTGCAGTTATAGAGACCATGAAAGGGCTCTGACGTTTTTTAGTTTTTGCCTCTGGAATAGTAAGGTTGTTGAAGGTAATTATTGAAGGGATAAGTTTATGCCCTCACAAGTGTTGGCTGTTTTCTCCTCTGTCCTGCCTGTGTCTGGGGCACATGTTCCTCTCCTCACACCTTGTACCTTTGCCTGTGTGTGTGGGTCTTTATCTCAGTGATACCTCGCCCGTCCGATCTGCTGCCACCATATGTCATTGGAATGTTTCAAGTAGTGAGTCTGGTTTACTTAAAGAATAGTGCTTTTAGAGGAATAATACTTTGCTTTGTTTCCATTAGGACCTTAAAAAAAAGTTTATGGGAGGAAAAATAAACAATCCCACCACCACTCCTTAACAACAGAGTACTTACCCTCTCCTAATGCTACCAGTTCCTTCTGTCTCTGAGGCCAAAGGCACC